TGAATATTACTGATATTTTGTGTATTGTTTAGTGGGTATAATTAATATTAGGCAGTAGTTAGCAATGACAAAATTCAAGACAAACAGTTTTTTGTTTGTTTGTTTGTTTGTTTGTTTGTTTTTGTTTTTGTTTTTTTTAATAACATCTTGCAATAGCATCTTGTGAGATCTTCGGGTTAAAAAAGACCAACACCATATTCTTTGTTCTAAGTATTTTAAAGCAATGGACCTTACTCTCAGCTACGTCAAGTGTGACTTGTATGTATTGGTTTGGTAAATACTTTGTTTTCAGTATCACAGGTTACCACTTTGTTTCTGTACCACCAGCCAGATGGACTTGTCATAGGTGATTTAAAAGCCAGAATACTCTAAGGTTATGAAGCTGGTTAAGACATCAGATTACGAGCAGACTATTTTTAGTTTCCAAAACCCAATAGTTCTTTCTTATGATTTGCTTTAGAAGTTGTACTGTCATACGGTTCATACATAATCTGAAGTATTTCTCCACTTCTCCTTTGTTAGAAGACTCACTGACTTTCACCCCTTTCGGTAGAGATGGGAGCAACCATTTCTAGTTCCATAAGACTGTTTCCATGTAAATTTATGGAAAAAAAGTCCTCGCCTATGATGTCATCCTTCAGGGTGCCCAGTAGCCCCGGTGGGGCTTGAGAGCACCCTTCTTTTTGTCAGGGAGGAGAGTAGTAATATGACGGAGAGCACATCAAGGCGGTATCTGTGCTGTTAATTTTAGGATAGATTTCTATCCTTTTCATCAACATTTCTAATCTCTAGGTATTTATTTCAGAGATGGTTGTGGTTGTGCAAGGAGATGTGTATGTGGACGTACAACACAGTTAACAATTATTTTATTTAGCAAACCAATTTTAAAACTTGCAATTTCATTTTCTTACCATGATTAAGTAATTCAGTTTTCTCTGGCCCTTGGCCCTGTCATGTATTAAGTGGGGAGATTTTTGAACTACTAGTTTTTGATCACTATGCAAAATATGCCTAGAACAGAAGTATTTCAGTTGGCACTAACTATAAACAAATTTCCAGTGGTATTTAAATGTGTGACCATAAAATGTTTCCGCTGGCATTTACTTTCTAGTTAGCAGCTGTTACAACAGTCTCCAAACATCTATTAAGTAAAGGAAGACATTTTGTAATATAAATGTATAGAAATAAGCAAGAAGGTGATATGCAAAAAAAAGCTTGAGGATACTACTACTTTTTGTTCTTAATTGGAAGTGTATAAACAGACTAAATTTCAGTATGAATGTTAGACTTCAGCTGAGTTCCATAAATTACACCAAGTGTGGCTTAATACGTTCAATTTCAGACATAACTAACACTAATCTGATAGGGATTTTAAAAAACAATTCATTCCATTTCAATGGAATTTCCATTTTACTAGCTGTAATCTCAAATATGTAAATGGTAGCCAAAGCTGGATGTGATGTTTCAGTTAAGATTTTTTTTTTTTTTTTGCTCATTGTTTCTTCTAGCATCTTCTTGCCAAATCTTCTGGAGCGCTTGTAATTTCCTCTGTACAGAGCCCAACAGGCTCATCAGCAGCAGAAGGTAAACATAATAGATGTGAGGAATTTCTGGAGATTTATGAGGTTTAGCTTTCTGAAATGTACACTATGTCTGGCAGTCCTAGGATGTGGCCACATGTGGATTCTGTGAATTGAAAGTGTAATAAATGGGGCATCATTTAGGCCTTGTTAGGAATAAAATTTAGGAACAAAAGATGCATTCTGCAATAGCACTTAAGTATCGTTTCTGCTCTGCAACAGTGCATTTTAGTTCAAAAGCCTAATTGTCAGGGAGGTTAAGCTTTTGTTAAACTGTCAATGAAATTTGACAAACAGATTAATATCCCTATTATTTAATAAATTAAACTTACCTACAGTCGCCCATGCCTCGTCATACTGAAACAATCAGATCAGAGACCATTATATAGCCATCTGGGAATATGAAACTACTCTGAACTAAAGAAATTGGCATTATTTGGATTTGGTATCAAAAGCTTCAGAGCAAAAAATGTAAAAGTACCAGCCTCATAACTGTACCATTATTATAAACATTAATGTGTTAAATTCTCCCATCTATTTATGAAAGTGTAATTGAAAAATTGCATACATCAGTTTATGGAGCTGATAAAAGAAGATACATTAGCAAAGACAGAAATATGCCATCCTAATGATCATGATAATATCACCGCCTGTTAAAGTGCTCTTTTAACTTTTTTTTTGTCAGTAGGCTTTACTAATATTAATTAATCAGCTTGAATGCTGTCAACATCTCAAGTACTAGAGTACTATTTCCTATTCTGAGCCAGGCATTTCTCTGCATCTTTTTCTTTTACATGTTGTTAGAAGAGCCTAGAAGAGCATTAACAGAACAGTAGAGAGAGGCCTCTTCTTCCTGCCCATTGTTTACTCATAGTATTGCTTGATGGAAGAGCTCATGGCCCATGTTTTTCATGGCCTGTTTCATCACTGTTCTCAAGGACTTGCATAAATGAAAGATGGGATTGTTTGGAGATAAATATTGCTGAGAATATCACTTTAACCCTCATCATCTTCCACAGTACACTAAAGCAGAAGGAAAACATAGCTTTTACCGAGAAAGGTGGATAAGCAAAAGCTTCTCTGACTTCTGAGATGAATGACACTCCTTGCTCCTTGGTGTGTTTAAAATCGAAAAAACTTTTCACGGCTGCC